TACAAACAAAAAGAATTCAGGTAAAAAAAAGTCACAGGACAAAAGACACAGGAAAGAAAATATAGGGAAAAAAGAAACAGGACAAAATTAGCGTACGGCGGACAAAAATTCACTGGACAAAATCTTAGCATCTTATCCCAAAAGTGGACAAAATCCCAGCCTCACATTCCAAAAGTGGACAAAATCCCAGCTTCCTATGCCAAAAGTGGACAAAATCCCAGAATCTTATCCTAAAAGAGGACAAAGTTTCAGCCTCTTATCCCAAATGTAGAGAAAATCCTAGTCTCTTAAATAAATTGAAAATTCAGTGAACTTCCAATTCAACTTGATACTTTCTTCACATAAATTCAAGTCATATGGGATGCTACGAAACCCTAACTATGAAGTGTATCGATTATGAGGCCTTAGCATTTTTAGAAAAAGGTTCTTTACGGGTTAATCTATCTTCAGATTGGATCTCCGTGGTTTGCACGTTTTGGCACAAACTAAAAAAAGAAAAAACTAAAAAAAAACGGCCTTCTTATGGAGAAGAACTTCGATAAATGGGTTCCATATGAAAGTCAAAGATTTCAACGATTTAAAGACTGTTCGATGCTGCGTTTTTGAGATTATTGGTCCGCCAATGATCTTATCCATTTCGGTGTTCTGTAATCTAACCAGGGCATAACTTCAGAGGTTTACTGTCAACAACTGGATGAAATACACATTCAGTTAAGCAAAATGTGACCGGTACTGGTTAATCGACGTGGTTCAATTCTGCATCATGACAATGCTTGGCTACATGTTGTCAGAATAAAACCGTAGAAGCCCATCGACTTGGGATACAAGACTTTCCCACATCTACCATATTCCTCTAATATCTAGCTCACTACCACTTTTTTTAAAGCCAAATGACATTCCGTTGCAAGGAAGATGCAGAAACTGCATATAAAGATTTCTTGGCGTCCAAAACTTAAGATTTTTATCATAAAGTCATAAATAACTTGGCAATTCGATGTCAAAAATGTAAAGATGTTCAAGTTTTCTAAGTTGACTGATTTTAATTTAGATACATTAATTCAGGAATAAAAGGTGATTTTAAATTCAGTCATTACTTTCTGAACAACCTAATAAAATGTTTTGCATTCATAGTCATATCTTTAATCCTGAAGCTGAATGCCGAAAGGAACCCCCCCCAAAAAAAAACCCACTTTACTTATCAAAAAAAAAAAAATTGTTTTTCAAAATAAGCAATCTCTTTGACGTTGCCCTTTATTCAGTGGTGCATAGTAATTTCAGAGATTAAACATTATACAATGAAACTATCAGATCAAAGTTCAATCAATAGATACTGTTGAAACTTGACTAATGCATGGAATAATAATGCAACACAAAATGTACTTAGAACAAAATGTATTGAAACAAGAAAGTGTACACAATATTTACATATAGTCTTTTGTGTATTCCTGGTAAGACCGTTCCTGGAGAATGTGTTGACTGAGTCGTAGTCGGGCAGAGTCTCTGGTTGAATCTCTTGATTCCTCCCTCTCTTCCCGATACAAACCATATTTATATGGTCGGTACTCCACTATGCAAATTAGGTGGATCCTACCACAACAGATACGTATCTGGTTTCAGATTTATTGAATGAACAATCTACGGAGGTTTTCTTGAGTTACTTTCATTTAGGTGATTATAAAATTGCTTCAAGGACGAGGCCGGGGATTATAGACACATCTTCGTGAACAACATAAAAGTATATACATATATAAATCAGATCATTCACCTGGTTGTATTCCAGGCGGTGAATGAATATATTTGTATACTTGCAAAATCCTGAACAGTGCATATTACATGTACTTGCGTAAGTATTAGAGCAGTCGTGTGTAAATACTTAACTCTACTCACCAACTTAATTCTCGGCGAACATAGGTACCAAGATTAAACCAATTTTATATATGCTGACTTTGAAGCAGTATGGGTCAACCAAGCATATAATCAATTTCAGTTGTGCAATAGTTATGTCTGTATATATATATATATATATATATATATATATATATATATAAATATATATATATATAAAGAGAGAAATAAGGAAAGAGAAAGAGAGAGCGAGAGAGATAATATAAATATATTAGAGAGAGTGAGAGAGAGCGAGAGAGATAATATAAGTATATTAGAGAGAGTGAGAGAGAGCGATATGAGTTGGTTTAAAGTGTGTTCCCGTGCCTGTGAGCACACACACACGAACACGTACACACACCACGCACACATACTCATGCTAAGTTATGCACATGCACACACACACAAACAAACACACGCCCGCACGCACTCACACACACACACACGAATGAAATTTTTGAGGAAAGAAATTCTTACCTTTTCCCAGATCATTAGTGCGTAAGTGAAATCTGTTGGGAGAGGAAATTTATCCGTCCCTTTCCCCAGAAAATTAGTGCGATAGTGAAAGCCGTTGGGAAAAGAAGATTCATGCCTTTCTCATGATAATTTGTCCGAAAGTGAAAGCTGATGGGAGAAAAAAAAAACGAATCAAGTCTTTCCTGAGATCATTAGTGCGAAAGTGAAAGCTGTTGCAAGAAGAAAGGGAGTAATCCTTTTCCCTAAAATCACAGGTACAAAAGTGAATGGAACAGACACAAATTCTATCTCGGTTCGCCTGATTCCATTTACCGTGCCGATAACATCTTATCTACATAATTGAATAAAATGGAGAGAACTTATGGAAACTAATTTTAGTTTTCCATGTAAAAACAGAAGAAAAAGTGTCATTATATTCGGCGGCAAAGTCTGGGTTGTCTAATGGACGGGTCGTGCACAGATTGGGTGGTACACAATGAACGACTCTCTCTCTCTGTCCCTCTCTCTCTCTCTCTCTATATATATATATATATATATATATATATATATATATATATATAAACCTAAAATACATTATCAAATCGGCTTTACGTATGTTTTCATATCGTTATCTTCTTGTGCCGGAAGACTTCCCAAATTTAATATCTCTATGACCAAATCTAGTTTTTAAATCTTTTTCTCCCAGAACTCTAGTTTGCCGATGTGGGTCGGTCTTAAAACCTTTCAACACACATTTCAACGCATTTGATCTCTCTCTCTCTCTCTCTCTCACACACACACACACACACACACACACATATATATATATATATAGTTGTGGGAAACAAATATTCGTACACATACAAATTTTCAATTTATTGTATTTCCAACTAAAGAATAAATATACTTTTCATATAATTAACAGTAAATGCATAATAACTAAATATAAATAGAAAAAAAGAAAAATTTTAGGCTTTTAAAGTTTGTATTTTTTTATTCTGTATCATCACATGCAAGGCAATAAAGCCACTAAGACACAAAGGATCACAGTGTGGAAGAATTATGAACAGAAACATTAATAATGAGTGGGAAGAGATAAGATAAACCTTACTAGGATCTTGGGTACAGCCATGATCACCCACTTCTGAAGAAGAAGAATTAAATTTTACTGGTATCCAAATTTCTTTCTAATAGATTTCTACCAAGAAAGGCAATAAAGCCACTAAGACACAAGGGATTACTTGGCGTGGAAGAATTAAGAACACAAACATTAATAATGAGCGGGAAGAGAAAAGAATAATCAGCAGGGCAGTAGATAGCGATTGACATAGCATTTAAAATTTTGGGAATTAAAGTTTGCTGGAAAGCATGGAACCGGTAGGGAGTTCTCCAAGCGAGAAAAGAAACTGTTAGCATAGAACTACATCTAGCCAGCTCAATTGTAAATTAATGAGATCTTGGTGCCAGTCTAGTGCTGTGCTTAAATAATAAAAAAAAAACCTTTAGGTACCATAGCGAAGAGCATGATTTATTTGTACAAATGCAAGATGGGACACAAAAAAAAAAGGGGAATTGTGAAATTCTTCTTCTGTCTTAACGTTAAATTAAGCTAGCGACATACACTGACCCAAACATACATCAATATTCCTTATAACAAAACAACGCATTCTTACTTATCATTCTTACTTGACCCACCTATCCCAGAATCTCTATGGAAGTCCTAAATAATCCCCATATGTAGAATTCATTGTCTGTGGGGAGGGGAATAAAACAACAATTTAAAATCTAGCCCCAATGTGTATTTATAATATGACAACAAAACTATTTACAAGAAACCAAATAAAATAAATTTACTAATACCACCGCCCCCAATTCTTAAAAGCAGTAGAAACATCAGTTAACTGGACGAAATCAATGCGGGACTCTAATAACATAATTCATTCCAAGCACTCACTCAAACACACACTCATTCAAGCACAACAACAAATACGAAAATAAAACCCGAAAAGAAAGGCGCCCGCATCCACCAGAGAACTGATGTCTCTGCTCACCTATATGTGGGAACGAAGAGGTCATCCGAACAATTACCATGAAAGCGTTTATAGAACAGGCAAAAAGAAGCAACCTTACGGCGATGGGAAAGTGACTGAAGTGTAGGCGCCAGCTCACGACGGATAATATTGCTGATCCTTCGTTGGATTCTATTAAGGAGATTAAGGCAAATAGCATGGATACCGGACCATTTACATGTAAATATCTACCTGTTTTTACCAGTTTTACATCTACTTAGATATATGGGTCTCCATAAATCAGCTGATATATTTAAAGTGCTTAAAGCACAATAATTATCCAATGTGCAGCCTGTGTCTACATATCGGTGCATATCTGTTTTCCTTTGCTTTATATTTTCTTTGCAAACTGCAGCTTCATTTTTCAGGGATTTTTTCTGGGTCGAACGAACGGCAGTGAGGAATTATTTCGATAATAGATTTCATGTTGAGTCTCCGCCCCTTTAAATGGTCACCTAGATGGAATCGGATATACAGACGTCTGGGAACGTTTTGTAATCAAGAAGAGAACGTTTCCGAAAATCATGGTTACCCAAAAAAATGTGACCTTTCCTCTCTAGTCTAGAATTTTACGTGTGTTTCTGCATCTTTCTATGCATAAAAGTTCCTCTGAAGCTTTTGAATATCATTAAGAACGATTACTTGCGAGAATGTAACTTGGTGTATAAATGTACTTTTGATGCGCGGACATGATTTTGCACGGACATAGAAGCGCATAGAGGAAGAAGGAGAGAAATAAAAGATAGGGTTGCTGAAATAACAAGGAAGGGAAAGAGAGAGAGAGAAAGAGGGGGAATTCAGAGTAAAAGGAAAGTGTTCAAAGTGTGCGGGAGAGAGAGAGAGAGAGATGGGAAAATGTGAAAGATAAAGAATAGAAATACCTAAATAACATGGAAGCGAGAGAAAGAGAAAGAATCTTGAAGAAAGAAAGAATGAAAGAAAAAAAGAAAGAAAGAAAGAAAGGATGTGTGCAAAACACCAATGAGTACAAAAGAGATAGAGAGAGGGAGTTGAGAAAAAAAGAAAGAAAGAAAAAAAGAAAAAAGAAAGATAAAAGAATAGAAAGTGGGAGAGAACGATATGAAAGTGGAAGTAAAAATGAATGAAAGAGAGGGCAAAAAAATATAGGAAGCGGGAAGAAGAAAGAAGCATAGGGAGCAGGTGAGAGATATGGGTAAATGTGGGAGGGGGAAAAGCATTAAAAGCAGGAGAGAAGGGAAAATGTCGAAAAGAAATAAGAAAACGAGAAAGAAAGAAAGAAAGAAAGAAAGAAAGAAAGAAAGAAAGAAAGAAAGAAAGAAATAATGAGCACAGAATAGAAAAAATACGAAGAAAATAAAAAGAAAGACGAAGGGAAAGAAAGAAAGAAAGAAAGAAAGAAAGAAAGAAAGAAAGAAAGAAAGTAAGAAAGAAAGGAATGGAGTGCAGGTTAGAGAGATGGGAAAATCTGGATGAGACAATGCATGAATAGTGAGAGAAAGCGAGAGAGAAAAATGTGAAGAAAGATGAAAGAATCATTGAAAACGAGAGAAAAAAAACAAGTATGGAACGAACGAAAGAAAGAAAGAAAGAAAGAAAGAAAGAAAGAAAGAAAGAAGAATGGATATCGAAAGAGAAAAAAGAGATTAAAATGTAGAGGAAAAAATAAATAATAAAATGTGAGAAAAAGAGATTAAAATGTAGCAAATAAAATAAATTAAATAAATAAATAACTAATAATGGATATCGAGAGAAAAAAGGAGGGGAAATGTGGAGGCGAAGGAAGGAAAAAAAGAAAAAAAGAAAGAAAGAAAGAAAGAAAGAAAGAGAGAGAGAAATAAATAATTAAAGAAATAAGAATGGATAACGAGAGAGGAGAAAGAAAGAAGCATGGCGAGTGAGAGAGAAAGTGAGATGAAAATGTGGAGGAGAAAGAAAGAAAGAAAGAAAGAAAGAAAGAAAGAAAGAAAGAAAGAAAGAGAAATTAAAGCAAACTTTAAAAGAAGCCTGGAAAACGGAAATGTTTGAATATTGGTTAAAGAATTGGAAAAAGAGATTCTCTGAATGCAAAAGGATGAAAAGATTTCGTTGAGATTCTCGAGATGAAATGGAAATGTCAGTATAATGTCAACGCCAAGAACAAACTCTCTGTAGATTGATGAATATCAAGCCGAAGACGCATTTTTCCGCTTCGTCAACGATTTGACCTGCTTCGGGACTGCATTGCTTTCTTTCTCTAACGGTTCCCAAGGGCACGAACCAATACTTCTCTCCTGCATTCGTTTCATGGACAAAGCAGATTTGGATTTCGCCTTTTCTTGTAAACACGCAGCTCAATCGTGAGCCGAAGCTCCATAAGTTATGTAATGTCGTGGTCTTCTGTCGCCTTGCTGTCACTTATTTCCTAGTTCTATGATAATAGGCTGGTACCGAAGGCGTTGGACTAATAAAATGTGAAGAAGAAAGACTTGTGTATTCGGAGGGGCATTTTGAAATTTAATTTCATTTCTTGTGCACGATGACGCCTCCCAATGCGGATGCATTATTCTTAAGCATTCTTCTCTCTGGGAAGACCATTGTCGACGAATTCTAATGTGTAAGATGCTGTTTCAGATGAATATCTTCGAGAAAATCACAGGTAGGCGTAATTTACATTATCGATATCGAATGACACTTTTCTTAATACTTTCTCATCGGCATTGAAACGGTTTTAAATAACGCCATCGTCTAGATTCTCGGATTTTCAATTCCCCCGGCTTTTCAGAATCGTTTCTAGTGCTTCGACAATTATTCGAATAATTGTCACCTTCCAGAACCCAAAAGTTCTTTAGTTCTCTGGCGACGTTTAGATAATATTCCAACTTTTTATTTTCTATTAAGTTTTCACTGTTGTATGCTGAAATTGGAAAATACACTCGATTTTTAGACATTTCTAGAGAAACACACCTCTCCAAGAAAGAATCATTTTTTAAAAAGAATTCATATTACTATCGATTAAGTTCTCTCTTGCTACGTTACTCGACAGATGGAGTGATTCCTTAATCTGGTGTGAATAGCTTAGCTTCTAGGAGGATTGCACATACACACACACACACACACACACACACACACACACACACACACACACACACACATATATATATATATATATATATATATATATATATAAAATAAAACTGTGCACATACACACACACACACACACACACACACACACACACACACATATATATATATATATATATATATATATATATATAACCAATAAAACTGTCAAAATGACCAAGGGAATTCAGAGCAGCATGAATCCATCCAGCTCTTATCTTAAATAATAACTTAAAAGAGACTGTTTGACCAACAGAAAAACTGACCAAAATTGATGTTAAAAGAATAAAAACAAAAACAAATGAAAACAACAGACAGATCATTTTCTCTATCAAGACATTCATTTCTGTAGTTTACTGCTACCAACAAGCAGAATTTTTTTCTCCTGATGATGGCCAACAATAGCCGAAACTAGTTGAGGAATCTAAATGAAATAATAATAAAAACGAAAGAATATTTATATACAACCCAGTGTGTCTGAAGAGTTTAATTTTTTAATATTTTTTATTGTTCAATATATATATATATATATATATATATATATATTGTTATATATATAATTAAATGGATTAAGTCTAACAATTATTTAATATATTTTCTGTTGATACATTACTTCTATCGATACCATTTAAGTAATTCTCTGTTTTTTTTAATTAAACTATATTAATTACATTTACTGACCTGAATGCACGAGAATGTTTTCGTAGAAAATATGCGTTCTCCGACAAGAATCGAACCTGTATTCTTATACGGAAACCGTCATTTGATCTGATGTGCAATACTATTTAGCTACAGAGAAGTGTCTGGTTATCAAAGTCCAAATTACTGTTTTTAAACACACAATATTCGAAGATTTTTCTCGATCGATCATATCTGATCACAAAACGTATCTTAACGTAAACAATGACAACATATAAAATGGATTAAGTCCGACAGTTATTTAATATATTTCCTGTTTACACATTATTTTTATAGATACAATTTATTTAAGTAAATGCTGTGTTTTTTAATTACACAGCATTAGTTAAAGTTAACAGCCTGAATTTCTCGAACATTTTTGGCCGGTAAATCTAATTAATACTGTTTAAATAAAAAAAAATACATAGTATTTACTTAAATAAACTCTATCCATAAAAATAACGTATAAATAGCATATATATATATATATATATATATATATATATATATATATATATATATATATATATTACATCAAACGTTATTATAATGGTTACTTGTATTTGAAATAGACGCCTCATTTATTTTCTTACTTTTTACTTTTTATTTATTCAGTGGGTATTCGAGAAATGTTAATAAACAAAACGGGCTCTTTGGCATGCCTAAGTCAACTGATATCTTATTAAATCGAAAACAGCTGACTAAAAACGGATTCGGACATATATTTTCCTCGATGGTTATCAATAAGTGAAGTGGACTTCGAAAGTACGGTGTAAGCGGCTCGGACAAAGAAAGTCACTGATTAAAAATGACGTTTTTGGACAAAGATGACAAGAAAATTAACAATGCTCTCTATAAGACAAAGACGCAAGAAGAACGACGTGAAAAGACACTCGTTAGACTGCTAACCTCCCCTATCACTTATGCTTCATCTTGGTTTTGCTCGTCTATAGTAGTAGATTACAACACAAGTATATATATATATTTTTTAATTACTGCTACAGTCAGGTCATGATTTTATTTCTTAGGTAACGAGCTGGTGGAAGGGTTATTTTTAAGCCAAACGCGTTTGACTGGAAGAAGCTGCACCCTGAGAACGAACCTGATTTCTGGTCTGAGCTGAAACGCTACACGCATCTTCTTCCCACTTTGTAGGATAAATTACCGTTTGATCCGTAGAACGTCAGAGTTTTGCAAGGCTCTATACTTCCTTTTTAAGGAAAGCATAGATCCTCCCTAAGTCATTTGTCGCGAAAGCCGGTATCTGCTCGATTTCGTATCTGACATGTAAACAAACAATTTCTAAAGAATTAACTGATTTATTTTCAATGCTACATTTTTATTAATTCAAGCATAATTATAGTGGATACTCGTATTTTAAGGGCATCTATTTCAAATACGAATATCAACTATAATCACGTTTGAAGTAATAAAACTATCTGATTAATAATAAATACACTATGTTTTTTTTAGGAATATATAAATATATATTTCTTATTACTATAAAAGATATTTTTAGTGGGTAAACGTGTTTGACTTACTATTCATGTTTTGTTTATATTTTTAAATTTTATTAAACTGTAACATTAATAACAGCAGGCTTAAAATGAGAAACTCTACTAAAGAAAAATGTTGCTTCCGACAAGAATCGAACCTGCGCCCCTATTTTACGCCAGAAGAAGCCACTATCGTAAGATAGTGTTCTTCTACCTGTTCGGCATCGAAGACAGACTCAATCATCTTAGAATTGCCTGTAAAGGAAACGTATTTTCTCGTTGAGTCTTCTACGAAACTATATCTGCTAGCTTCAGTTTCGTACTCGAAACGTAAACAATCGTAATCTTTGAAAGGATTTTTTTTATCCGACATTATTTCTTATTGCTATTGTAATATAGAGACAACTCCAAGTAGAATTTGATGAAGCTTTAGTTGACTAATTCAGTTTTAGCGCTGAAAACGTTTATTTTATTACAGTGGATGGTTACAAGCGAGAGAGGAAATGGAGTATGCTTATTTTATTACCACAACTATAAACATTAGTTTTAGCGAGTAAATGTGTTTGCCTTTGAGTTTCTATCTCTGTTATTTAATTTTAGTAAACAGGGGGAATTAATAAGAATTAGCCTAAATTGAGATGTCCTACTCCCAGCGACGACAATCTGTTTCATGCTTAAACGCAGTCGTCCGGCCACTAGGTGTATGAACAACAAGTTTCGGTATAAACTACGCAAAATAAAAGTAGAAACTTAGTAATGGTAGGCCCCTCAATAGAAGACTAAACTCTGCTGTGAATAAGGTTATTACGTTTAAGCATGAAACAGAAGGTTGCCGCGGGGTGGAGACCTCAATGACTACTTTTATATTTACATACGCTCTAGTCCTGATATTGAGCACTTTAACCCCAAAGTATGGCATACCTTAAAACTATATACCTAACATTGTATATATATATATATATATATATATATATATATATATATATATATATATATATATATATATATAATTAATAGAAAAAGTTTCTTTCACTTAACTCATGTCTTAAATCTTCGATATTGGGCACTCTTCCACAAAAGCCTGCTTGCTTTAAATACCTCTTTATCAGAAAACCACTGAAAACCCTTCAATTCTGATTTTAAAAGCATTCAAATTAACACGATATATATATATATATATATATATATATATATATATATATATATATATATATATATATATATATATATATACACACGCACATATGATATTATATAAATT